TATATTTTTTTTTAACTATGAAAACTTAATCATTAACTTCTGGGTATGGAAAGCAGGTCGAGTATGTGTTATAAAGAAAATTTTTTTTTATTATTAGTGATAAATACAAAATATATACCTTAAGCATAATCTAAGAGGGCAATAATCTTATTATATAATAGAACAAGGTTTTTATTTATAAAATAATAATTATATCAAAAGTTTTAAACATCGATAATTTGGTTCAAGTTGTCTGTATGTATTTTGTACACAAGAGGTAAACTATTCTAGTTTTTCAAACAAACAAAAAAAAAAAGTTATAGCAATTTTAAGTAAAAAAATTGAAATAATGTCGAAAATTAGCGATATTTAAATTTGTAATTTTTTGGGGATTTCCCCCGTTTACGGAAAACGAGAGAATTTTTTTTCAAATTTTTAGGGTAATGTCTTTAACTAGATATGATTTGTAATCTTTTGACATAATCGGTCCAGTGACAGCTAAGAAAATATAGTGACAGACACAAAAAAGAAAATGAAATAAAAACATCATGGTAAAATTAATACCTTTTCAGCTTCGCATCGAAGTTAAAATTGGTTGTTATGACTAAATAAAAATATTCACTATACCAGTAGAATAACTGCATGGGTTACTTTATCTATTAAATTTATAATTTGATCCAAAAGTAATTGTTAACTAATCATAAGAGGAAAGCTCTAATAAATTATTACCCTTTGCCGTAAGTAAAATTTTTAAAATAGTCGCAATGTAGTATATTAAAATCAATCTATAATTTGTATTTTTTTTACACTAGTTTTTGCTAATATTATAAATATTTCTATGTAGTTAAATTTTCTTTAGAAGTGTTTTTTTTTTTTAGTTTAATTGTATTATTGTTTTTACTTTAATATTTTTGCGTAAAAAATTTTATTGTATTTATACATGTATATTAACCAGCCTATTTAATTGAAATTGGAACCTAAGATATGGAATCCATATAGTCTATATTATGCATGTTATGAGGGATATTAGATTAACTCGGGTGAATACAATTTTTAGGATCAAATAGATGACTGCCAAAGAGTTTAAATATAATAAGTACAATGCTTTAATTCTGAATATATTTTTTTTAAGATTGAATTTTATACTAACAATTTTAAACCTATAATAATTTTAAATACAAAAATTAGTTTTTTCTGTGAAAACAAAACTTCTTCAACCATACATTTTCTGGTATTGTGGAGATATTTTTAAAAATTATTTGAATAGAAAGAGATGTTGAATTTTAATTCACTACTTAAAGTTTTTGACAAAACACTATGTTATATTATCTTATATCAATTCATTTATATTAAGGTTGGGTTTGCAATGTGGAATTTAAAAGCTATTAAATTGTATAATATCCTTAATATTTAAAGTTTCTGAACAATATTCCAAAGTAACTCTAATTAATTGTTCAGATTATATTAAAACCTGAAACAATTTAAAATAGTTAGTTGTATTTAATTGTTATTGATTATCTTAAAACAAAACAATGTATTCTTTTTTTTTTTGTAATAATGCATTCTTAAACAACTCGGGAAAACTAGTCTTAAACATTAACCGTAATTTAATATCTAGAAAGAGATACATAATGTTCAAAACTAAGTTAGAAATATTATTACAATAACTGATAAAAGCACTTTTGTTTTTTAGAGTTCAAAACTGTTCATAAATGGTTTATGTTAAAAAAATAACCTTCAATTTTGAATAAACATTAATATTTGAGAAATGTTTTTATTTAATAATATACAACAACTTTTAAAGTTTTAACTATAATGTGATCTGATTGTTATAAAAAAAAAATTAATTCAATTCTTAATCAATTCAATGAAACTTAAGAAGAAAGAAGATGATTTATTTTTATCTATTAAATATTGTCTTCAACAGCGGCGAATCAAAAAATGTAAATATATTATTTGGCAATTAGATGTATCAATTTTCATATATGAAAATTTGACCTGCAGTTAAAAAAAAAAAATGATTATATCAAATAAATATACATTTATTTTGTAGTTAATTCTACTTACCCGTTATATAACTTTAGTACAATTTTATTATCTAAATAAGGTTAAATTATTATTTAATAATTGTTACGACGTAAAACTAAAACATTTACTAAAATGTTACATTAAAACACTGTAACTACACGATAGTTAAACAACTTAATAATGGACAAAAATATTTAATTATATGGGATAGTAGTACCAACGTAGAATTAACGTTAAGCCCGAAGTGGTTTAAAAGGTTATATTAAAACTTAACATATTATATTATCAATCAACATTAGTAAAAATTATTTTTGTTGGTCATATCACACGATAACATAAACGTATTATAGAATTGTATCGAGTCTCTACACTACGGTGAAGAGAGGCTAGGAAATTAACTTATCAGTATTAAAGCTTGCTATACAAATCAATGGATTTTGCTATTAATAATACAGTTAGGACCATAGAGTAATAATATGATTAAGACTCGAATCTATTATTATTATCACTCAATTAGTTTGTCGTAAATTATTATTGCTATCTTACTTGTCATATCTTGGTCAATAACAATTAGTGTATATTACACTATAGAAAAATAGTGACTTCTGTATTGAAAACATTAAAACAACAATAGAAATTTAGTCCAAAATTATTTAACTTTAACAAGCTATAACAGACGAACGGTTGATCGGAAAAAAAAAATTGTAAGAGCAAAGTTCTTTGTATTTTTATGTTCAATCATAATAAAAAATTCAAAATAGGGGTTCCCATTTAAGAAAATGCAAATTAATGTTTTTTAACCTTAAAGGGATCAAAAAAATTATGTTTTTACTACATATTATTGTAGAGTTTTTTGAGTCAAAAAATATTTTCCTTACCAAAAATTAAAAATTTTCAATAGTTACCGAGAAAATGAGTGTCTTATCCTTAATGAATCACCCTGTATATATATATATTAGAACAACAACAGACTCAATACAATAACAATACATAATAATAATAACAGTAACATAATCAATAACAACATAACAATACAATAAAATAGAAACAATCATACAATAGTAGCATCTTGAGACTCCGAGTGATGAACCAGTGAAGGCCGGATCACAGATCCAGACGGCTTCCCAACGACCTTCTGAGTGGTTGCCCCTGCCGTCTCCTCTCTATGACTTCCTTGGCACCCATAACCTCGTTTGCGAAGGTTTGTACAGTGTCCCAGTGAGACTTACACTTCAACATACGGGAAACTAATGAACCCACATCAAATGATCCAATAACCCGAGTTAGCTCCTGTCTTTATGCACTCCATGCTGTGTAGTGCAGCAGCGTGTGTTCGGCATCATCGACCAGGCATATCGTAGCTCTAGCAAGCTACATCACCGAGCCTTTTGATCTTAGTGAGATAGCTTGGAAAACACTCGTGACCCGACAATAGCTGGGTCAAGTGAAAGTCAACACAGCCGTGCTTCCGCAACACCCACTCGTCGAAGTCATTAATGAGCCTCCTGGTCCACTCCCCATTTGCAGCTCCGTTTATCTCATCCCTCCACTTCGATAACGTGCTCATCCTCAAGTCCAATTTTCAATCGGGCCTCAGTGTAGCTGGCGATTACCGCATCCAATAAGACACCCTCCTCTCCTCGGCCAACATATCGATCGGGGGTACCGACGACAGGATGTTAACTGCTGTGCGCTAACCATACGGTAGGCACACACACTGCCCAGAAGGACCCTCCGCTGGACTCTACGCAATGCATCCAAACTCGTCCTTTTGTATTGAAGGGTATTAGCCCATATTGGCGCACCGTACTGTACAGTTTCCTCCGTGTTTCTTTCGGGCCGCCCAGGTTAGGCATCAATCTCAACAACGAAGTGGACATTTCCGTCGCCCTCTCCGTAGCTCTCTTGATGTGGTCCACAAACATAAGATCTCTATCGATGATCACACCCAAGTAGTTCAAGGTTTTTGCGACTTTGATCGTCACATCGTCGATTGTTATTAACGGTAGTCGATCTTTGTATTTCCGCCTGAAGAAAATTGCCTCCGATTTCTCCACCGCTAGCTGTAAACCCAGACGCCTGATTTCGCCAGCCACAATAGCCTAAGCTTCATTGGCGACAACTTCCACCTCGTCCGGTGAGTTAGCAACCGCTATTACCATTGTGTCATCAGCAAAACCAACTATGGACGACCCCTCAGGCAACGACTTCTCCAATACCGTATTATATGCCATGTTCCACAGTATCGGGCCTAACACCGAACCCTGAGGGACTCCGCATGACATCTCCACGTGAATTTCTTTGCCGGTTGTAGGACACACAATAGACGCGCCTCTGTTAGAGAAGTATGAATGTAAAATTCTTAACGTCACAAAGGGCACATTCCACTTCACAAGTGAATCGATAACATGACGCCAACCAATAGAGTTGAACGCGTTTTTAATATCGAGACTTGTAGCCACACAGCACTTGTACCGGTGAATTGCGCTTAGGGCAGTATCACTACTACCCGTAGCACGTCAATCGTTGACCTGCCCCTCCTGAACCCTTACTGTCGCGGAGATAGATCACCGTTCAGCACAAGACACTTCTCAATTCTCCAGACGAGTAGCCTTTCCAACATTTTCACCAGGTCATTAATTAGACACAGCGGTCTATACGATGAAGGAACATAAACGGGCTTATTATCCTTCCTCAACAAAACCAGGCGTGCCTGTTTCCATCGTACAGGAAACATACCCTCCGCCAGACATCTGTTAAATATCTGTCGCAGTACATACTGGTCCACGTAACATAAACTTCAAATTTTTTCTCGCTTGTTTGAGATCCTCCTTTAGACGGTCCAACTCCTCCACAGTTGCCTTCCCTCGCAGGACGTCAGAACCTGCCCTCCTGGAGTGAATGCATACTCTCCTCAGTTCTGAGATACCACTGCTCCACCAGTATGCCGGTGGTTTTCCGTGGGGTGGAAGCTTTCTACTTGGCAGTGCGAAGTTACAAGTGGCATGGACCTTTCTCTCAAAGACATCCAGCATTCCCTCTAAGGAGGTATCCTGTTTACAAAGTCCATGTCTAGACCACAGGTACCCAATCCTAAAAATCTCGATGTCCAACTCTTTAGATGTGTCCCATCCAACTACATTCGGGACGTGGTTTGATTCCCACCGCTTCCCATCCTGCACGATGAAAGAAATATAATTGTGGTCTGACCAATTATCTATATCGACGCGAACTCTCCAATCGCTAAGTTTCCTGTGTATACTGACTGGTAGAAGCCGCCGTTATATCAACCATGGATCCTCTACCAATACCAACGAAAGATGGTACCGTCCCTTTGTTATGTACAGTGAGATTGACGCTAACGAGCAAATCATGCAGCGCATCCCCTCTCGAGTTGGTGAGCCAATCGCCCCACGCGGCGGATCTGGCATTAAAGTCGCCCGCCACAATAATGTCATTACTGATACCGCGACACCGGATGCTGCCTTCAAGCAAACTTTTCCCATCATTAAAATTGGATGCGTTGTTCAGCAATAATGGTTAATGTGTAATTTCGGCTGTGACAACTTTTGAAACCCGATTTCTTTTCAGTATAACAGCATGATTCGAAGCAGCCAAATGCAGTTGAATGCAAATCAATTGCGGGCAATCCATATTAACTGCTTCGTCTATCATGTAGTTTACTGTACTTAATGAAGCATCCTTGATGCCATGTTTGGCTACATAAAAATATAACTGGACATCTGCAAAAGTTGGAGCCGCAACAGCCATCAATGACTCACAAAATTCCGACCAATCGTCGTTATATACAATGACTTGACCGTCATTTTGCGGTTGGGACGGCAAATTATATGTGCAATAGGTCTTTGAAGATTGATGCAAATTTTTTATTGCAGAGTAAACTTTTTCAGTTATAAACTGCCATCTAAACCCAAAAAAATGCATAGAGTAGTAACAAATCTCGAACAAACTACAAAAAATCAAGAAATACCTGCATTTGGGAATTTCTGTACTACAGTTTGAACGGATGAGGGCATTTATTAAGTGGCAATCGACAAAACTACCAAGTACAAATTCATTATACGTTATATTATTATCGTCGAGAAACACAGTATTCAAATGGCTAATTAGCTTTTTATTGGCAACCCGAGTCCAGTTTACATGCCTTGGATCAACTTTAATTTGGAATCTAGGGCCACAAATTTTAAACGATTTCAGTGAACGGGACACCTATGAACGATGAAAAACACTGACAATTTAATCTAATGGTCATTATAAAAGATATTTTAAACCACTTACCACACAAAACGAGTCTGCGTCGTAATGACCGAACCACCGCGGGCAAAGAAATCCTAAAACAAATACGAACAAACATAAAAAACAAAAACTTAACTAAAACACTAAGGAGTCAAAATTTGAAATATAAAATGTCACAAACTTTATAAAATCATTGTTTGGTTGCATTAGGTTATACAATTTTAATTTTGTAGACCCAAAAAATTTTTAATTACAATCGTCGTACAAATATTCTTAAAAAAAACATTAATTGGGTTGGATAAATATAATTTTAGCAACATCAAACCATCCATAAATTTGCCCTTAATTATGGATTGTTAGATTTGGGTTCAGTTTTAAAATTTCTAATTCATTTAACCAACACTCTGAATTATTACATAAATAACACAAAATTTGCTCCGAAATGGGTTAGGAACAATTTAAATAATTCATTAGTAAATAATATTACTATTGTTGTATTTATATATTGAACAATCTTTTTGTTCTAACTTATATTTTTAGTAGTTCAATAATAACGCAAAATGTAGTTAATAAAGATATAATCAATCAAAATAAAAAGATATAAAATATTGATACACTTAAAAACGGATAAATAAATAATACACAAAATAAAAACTTAAAGTCACAAACGTACCACACGGAAAGAGATTACCTTCGGTACTCCCGAGGTCTTCTCTTTCTTCCATTTTAATTCATTCCGTTTCATCTTATATACTAAAATATTTTGTTTGTCTTTTTATAAAATTCATATAGTAATCATTTTCAAAAAGGTTTATAAATATTTACTTCCTGATCTAGTAACAATAATTCGGGGAATTACAATTAATCCAAACATTACAAGTGTTCTACTTCTAGGTTTACAAATAATAGACTATATTATATTTTAGTAATAATAGATCAAGAGATTCATAATGCCATAATTTTCAAAAATGTTTATAAATATTTACTTCTTGGTTTAGTAACAATAATTTGGGGAATTACAATTAATCTAAACATTACATAAGTGTTCTACTTCTAGGTTTACAAATAATAGACTATATTATATTTTTGTAATAATAGATTAAGAAATTCATAGTTAAACCAAACATTACAAAAATTCTTTGTTTTCAGTTTTATAAAATAATGACCTATATTACACTATTATAAAATATTTTAAAAAAAACGGTAGCACAATGGGGTCGAGGCACAGTGTAGACAAGGCATAGATGGGACAAATATAGATGATATTTGACAGTGATTAAAATCCAAACCAAACCTTTGATATTTTCCTTTCATTTGATATCATTTTTTTGAAAATCTAACATTTAACCTGCTCATTGGGGGGAATTTAAAATAGCAACTTTTTTACAAAAACTAACTTTTTCAACTTAATTTTTGAAAATGTTCCGGAAACACTGCGTCCTTTAAACAAATATCAAATTAAAGCTTATTTTATGTACTATAAAATAAAATAAAAAATTTGTACCGACACTTTATCTTCTGCATGTAAACGGCTACCATAGTTAAAAAAAGACTATTTTTGTGTTAAAATTTTTGATTTAAAATTTTCAACTTAAAAATTTCAAAGGTTACAAATATATAAAAAAATTGGCCGCAGCGAAAAATTTGTAACTTTCATGGTGTTAGATACACATTAATGTGAGGTGATGCGATACATTTAATTTAATATGAAAACACGGTAAGTGAGGGAGAGCAGGTCAGTCGATCACATCATACACGTTTGTGTTTGTCACAACGGGTATGCCGCTGACACAACGCAATTTGTTTTTTTTATCTTTTGNAGGGCTGACTCAACGCAATTTGTTTTTTTTATCTTTTGTTCTGTAGCCGTCTAGTATTCCGGAGATTCCGCGTTTTTTTTATATAATATACGCCGCGACCTTCAATGTTTTTTCCCACTAAAAAAAACCACCACCTTCGTAACGGTACGGCGGCGCTGCTGTTTAGACCGGTCCCTGTGTGTGTGGCAGTGGTCTTGAAGAATTCATTCGCGCTCAATTAGTCGGCCGTTTCGGTAATATCGTCGCCAGGTTTCTTTTGGGTCGAGTATTGCCTTGTCGCCACATTGTTCAATTTGAGCTGCTCAACGGCTTGTTATATGTTACGGTGTTTTTT